CCCCACGGCAAGGACGGGGCCTCCTGCCGGGAAAGGGCCCGGCCCCACCAGTGGATGAGGGGGACGGCCAGCACCCCGCTTTTCGGGGTCACCCTGTCCCCTCCGGGCTCGGCAGAGGGGAGGCGCAGGCCGGGGCAGGGTGGGAAACTCTGGAAAGTTTTTTGTTTATTCACGTCAGAGAACACTGTACAAATATTACAGGCAATTTTCTTTCCTTGCAAAAAAAGTATAAAAATAATCTTTATATACGAATCAAAAGTTCATTTGCAACTGTAAATTTTTCTCTCGGTATCCTTTTCTGAAGGTTGTCTAACTGGTGGCAAGCACGAACACTTGTGGAAGGAGTGCGAGGGCCAGGCAGTACATGGAGAGCTCGAGCCACACCGAAGCCACGGAGCCTAGCTAACGCACGCGCAGGACCGAGGGTGTTTGGTCAGCTTCCATGCGAAGGAGGGAAGGTTCACGGACTGGCTGCATGCGGGCTCAAGTTTCCCCCCCCGGCGGGGTCCCACGCCACGGCTCTCGCTGGCGGCAGCTGCCCCCCGCCAAACTAGAGAGTGTCCCGTTGTTCCTCCTGAATTCTTCACGCTCTTCCCAAAGAGGACGCCGGTGCTTCGGAGCTGCAGAGAGGAGCCCCACAGGAGACGCCGGTGCTTCGGAGCTGCAGAGAGGAACGGCTCTTCTGGAGGAGTCCCACACAGAACAGGATGGCCCAAGGAGCCACCTCGGGGACGCAGCTCCCAAGCACATACTCTTCTCACCTCTGCGGGCTCCAAGAATTGGAGACTTTACATCCCTTATTGCTGCTGCTCCAGCTGGTTGTGTGGTTCACAGGCGGTGAGCAGCTAAGCGGAGAAGTTAAACATCAGCTGGTTACGTGGATGGCTGCAAGCTACCTCTCTGCAACGGCCAGCCATGCTCCTGGCCTGGCCCTCTCTTCGGCAGTTTGCAGAGCAGGAAAGGCAGGACAGCTGCTACCACCAGGTCAGCAGGAAGATGTGCAAAACTGAAGACACTCAAATACAGGATCTGACCGAAAACCAAAGTTGGGGCTTGCAAAATACACCACAAATCCATCAGGGCGTTTTACTCCAACTAAAATGCACAGGGTCCAAGACTGCTACCACCTGACCATCGTAACCAACCCAACAGCAGACCTTCCGTTACAAAGCAATGAAGAAAATCTTGTGGAAAAACGATGCAGAGAAAGCATCAGACTAGGTAGCGACCTGCCACAGGATCAGGGATTGGGAGCGTGGGTGTGGACACTGGAGGAGCAAATTCAAATATACAGAAAGCTGATCCTGAGCAGATGCTAAGAGAGAAAAAGGGGGGGAAAAAAGAGCACTGTTTTGACAACACCTACGTAACTTGTCACAGCAAAGTACTACTGAATTGTTACTGCTTGGTCGCCTTTCAGACAGTTGCAGGCTCAAGTGCAATGGTTGGAGAAGACAGCTACTTGCAAATATGAGCAGGCTCTGATGTACCTGGAGTACTTTACAGGCACCAGCTGGAGCAGTCTTATCCTTTCAAACATCTCTGAACTCAGGCAAAAACAAATAAAAATTAAAAAAAAAAACAACAACAAACAAACAACATACTGGCACCTCTTCTTTAGCCCTGTAGAAACAGCACAGCTGCTGTACAAGGAGCTGGAGCCCCTGGGCTCATGCATCAGCAGGCTGGTGAATGCAGAACCAGCGTTCCTGCTGATGCACAAGCAGGGAAACACTCAGCTCCTGAGTCCTACTAGGAACGCTCAACTCCCGAGTCCCACTAGGAGGCACAGCTGGCTAAAAAAAGTGCTTTTTCTTGTAAAACATACTAGCTTGGTCTGGAGTCACTGGAAGAAATGGACACTTTGGTGCCATTTCCCCCCCCCCCCCTCGCC